GCCCCTTCACCTTGCTGGAAGCGGGGCGGCCCGGGAGGGACCTCCTGGTTGGGGTCCACGGGGGGCTCGGGCGTTAGCGTGTCGAACTGCTCCCGGCTGATCATGTTGACCTTCTTGAAGTTCTCGACCTCTTGCTGCGCGGGAGGAGGGCGGGCCAGGGCGTGAGCAGGGCAGCGCCCCGGGACGCCCGCGGGGCCCGCCCGCGCCCTGCGCCCGCTCACCTTGATCTGGGAATACTCGGGCTCGAACTTCTCGGTCCACAGGTCCTGCTCGTAGTAGAAGAGCCCGTCGTTGATGACCTTGGCCAGCTCGGCGCTCATCTTGGCGCGGGAGGTGTGGTTGCCAGTGCGGTCGCCCCCGGGGTGCCGGCGCATGTACGGGGGCGTCTGCGTGACGATGAGGATCTTGTTGACGTCCCGGTCGTCGATCTCGTAGTCGGAGTCCTCGTCAGACCAGGCGGTGAAGGTGTTCTTCCGCCCGTCCATCTGCTCCATTTCCTCGTCAAACAGGAAATCCAGCTCCTCCTGCTCGTCCTGCTCCCTGGACGGCGGCGGCTGCGAGGGCGGCTGCGGAGGCAGGGAGGCCGGGTGGGGCGGCCGGGGCTCCTCGGACTTCTAGAAGGGGGACAGGCCGGCAGAAGATGACGCGGGGCCCGCACGGCTGCCCCGAGGCCCGCTGTCAGACCTGGAGTGGGCGTCGTGAGCTGGGGCGTCTCGCGGGGCCTCCGGGTACCCCACTCGAGGTGGCGCACACGAGGCCGCCACCTTCCAGCCTGCAGAGCACTGCCCGTGAGCGCCGCTCGGCCCCCGGGTGCCCACCTCTCCCCACCCACAGAGCCATGCCCAGCACCGGAAGCTGCTCGAGACAAAAACCACAGCCGCCACTGCCCAGCCCGGGCCCCGGGGGGAAGCTGCCTGCCCGGATGGAAGGGCAAGTGCCCGCCGGCCAGGGTGCGATGGGTCTCGGGGCCGAGTAACAACCAGGGTCCCTGAACTTAATTAAGCAGTTCAGTTTAGAGGGAAGGAAAGTCGCCCCACGAACCAGAGGGGCAGGAGGCAGGGACGGAGGGCTGCCTGGGAGGTGGCGGCTAGAGGTGTACAGAGAGCAGCACGTGCCCCGGCGAGAGAGGATGCGGTCGGGACGTCGGTGTGGGCAGGCCGAGCTGGTCTGGGGCGGGCGGGGGCTCCACGAGGAGCTGCCCCAGGCCCACAGCCGCGTCCTCCCGGGGGGG